GGAGATCGGTATGCACTGCATAAATCATCAAAATAAGGAAAAAAAGATTACTGATAGAAAGTTGCTCTGCATATATTAACATAAAACTACAGCAAGAAACTTGGAAAGAAAGAATATTCAACAGATGTTACTTACGCTACAATTACTACATCATCCCCAAAAACTTGACTCCTTTGATAAGCAGCACTATCACCTGCTGCACAGACTGATGCCTGATTTCAAATTACAAACATTAACCGCAGTATTAAGGAGAGAATAAACATGACAAGATGAATACTTGTAAAAACATGTAAAATAGACACCATTTGTTCAATTTCAACAAAATCAAGCCAATATGGTGGCACCTAAGGTGATCCCTTAGTTTACAAATTCATGAAAAGAAAACATAACAAAATAGCACAAGATGTAAGCATTTAGGTCACATGGAAACACCTTGTTTTAAAATATAACCAAATAAGCACCAATTCTGATACCAAATTATCTGGGAAATGAGCAGGGGATAACTATTGAATGTGATTTTACAACAATCATTTCATCACAAACTAGTTTGAGAGGGAAAAATGAAACGATTACATAGATGAAAATCAATGAAATTATGAGGTTAGGCTAATTCTGAGGTTCTGGGAAGTAAAAGTCATACTTCCACATGGTCCTATGCTCTTCCCTATCCTATATTCAACACTTTTGGTACCTCTTCAAACCCCATCATGGCAAAAATATTCTCTTATTGTACTTTCATTTGAGCTAATTTATTATATATTGATTTATCTATTATCAAGCATCTAAGAAAAAATTATCTCTAAAGGTGATCCCAAACTCCATCGAAAAAACATCAATTTTGATTCCAAATTTTGATTGTGATGCTTGCAACAGCAATAACAACAACAATCTATCACAAAGCTAACTGGAGAGGCCAAATTAAAAACCTTTGTAGTGAAATGATAAAGGGATCAAGCACCATGTAGTTCTGGGATACAAAAGTCAATACTTCCACATGCCCCTAATCCCTATGCTCGTCCCCACAAACAATACCTAGAAGCTCAAATTTCTATTCAACACTTTTTTCCGATGCCTCTTCTAAGCTTCGTGGTTGTACAAGTGCTCCTTTTGGTACTTTCATTTCTAGTAACTTACTATAATTTGCTTTAGCTATTATCAAACATCTGTGGAAAATATTATCCCCAAGACATATTTGTACTTGGTACGAATTGAAGAAACAGGAAAAGTAGAAGAATGTCTTGGATCAACCAGGGTACAAACTGAAGAATGTCCATATGATGCCGGTATATAAGGCAATACCTCCGACAACATAAAGAATTTTAATTTTAGCAGATCAAAGTCTAATAAATTAGTCAACTGTATAAATCTTAGTGCAACAAACATCAAATCAGGTTAAAACGATCATAAAACGCATGATATCATATACGAAACCTAACTTCAAGGAGAAATTTTTTTTTCTTTGGCATCTGAATAAATCAGCACGATCAAATTACTCATATACAGATGTAACTTAAGAATTAAGAAAGAAGGAGAAAGGAACTTAGGCTCCGGATCGAGTCAAACACTAGAGGCATGAAAACAGTTCATTGATTAAAACTAGAATTGAACTTACGGAAATTGAAGAATCGAGATTTTCCAAGGATGAAGAGGTAGAAGACGGACGAAGATGCTCCAGCAGAACTCTCTGTCTCTCGATTGCTCTATCCATTTTCTCTACGAAAACAAAAATAGGTTGCTTGCGCGTATGAATTGGTTAACCGTAGAAGCAACGATGAGTAGCTGCGATCTTGATATATATATATATATATATATATATATAGGAGGAGAAATTTAATTTAGAGTGTGTAAAGGTTGAACATTGGGATGTGTGATGCTTATCGTTTGAGGCGTTATATGGCGGTGTCTCTCGTATGTCAATTTCATAGCAGATGATATTTTAAATAATTGACCATTGCGATAAGGGAGTTTTTCAATAAGTTTTTTAGTTTTATGTTTTCGTTATATAAATAAATTTAACAATATAACAAACTTTTATTTGTAAAGTTGTTTTTTTTATAAAGTTTATTTATGGGTTTTTCTAGAGATGCATAAATAAGTGTCCGACCCGACCCAGATCAATGATTGGTCAATAAGGCGTGGATCGAGCCCACATGCTTTATTTGGGCACGGGGCTGTCTTGGGTCAAAAAACATGAGCTGCTTAGGCACTTTTTTTTAAGCTTCATTTAGGTTGAAGGGAATGATAGCTTAGCATGTTGCCACATCAGATTTTTTTGATGTCATGTCAAATTTTTTTGAAGTCATATAGGATGAAAAAAGCTGTAGCATCCAAATTGCAAAAGGTAGGGAGTGGTGATGCATTAGTTTAATTGGTTTTATATTGGAAAAAAATATTAAAAAAGAAAAAAGAAAAAGATTTTAGCCAATAAAAACCCACCATTGAAGTTTCTCTCTCTTCTCTCTTCTCGTCATATTTATGGCGAGACATTCTTAGCAAGTCTTTAACATTTTAATGGGAGTGGAGCTGGCACTCTTAGCGAGTATAGAGGCGAGAGGGGTGGCGAGGCCACTCCCTCAAGCCTTATCGTTACTTATTGATACCTTATAATCATTTTATAATCATTGTTTTTACTAATTAAGTTAATCATTACATACTTTTACTAATCATTACTATTTTTAATAATTAAGTTTTTAATTAAAGGGTGCTGCTAATGGGGTTGTCTAACCACTGCAAATCGTCTGACCATTGCAATCGTCTTCGGAGAAGAGAACAAACGCCACGACTACAATCGCCGGAGAATAGAGAAAACTCCATTTATGTCTTGTATTTAAAGATGATTTTATTAAATTAGATGATTGTTGTTGAACCAATTTTCATTTATTAATAACGTATTTATGATATTCATTATAATAACTTTTTGTTTAAAAATCATGAGAAGAGAGAGAAATATTTTATTTTATTTTTTATATTTTTTTAGTTATAAAATAATTAAATAACAAAAAGAAAAGCAAAAAACAAATGGAAAAGGGCAAATCCGTCATTTTTAGAAATTTTAAAATGTTTTGGACCAAAACCGCAACAAAATGATAACTTTTGGACTATTGGTGCTAGTCCAAACGTGTTTGGCCCAAAGTAGCATTTTTTGACATACCACAGGGACCATTCTTACAATTTTGCCTAACTATAAATATTTATTGGTTTCATTTATTTCTATCTCATCTCCACTTATCCTTACTCTCTAATCATTTTCCTAATCATTGTTTTTATTAATTTATTTAATGATTACATATTTTTACTACTCATTAGCAGTTTAATAATTAATTTATGATTAATAGTTTTTTTTAATTTACAAATAAATCTAATTATTATAATATTATTTAGTTTATTATAGATAACTTATTAACACTATTTTTATAAATAAAAAAATACATAAATATTTTTATTTTATTAAAAAAATACGACACAACAATAATAAATTAATATTTCGACGTAACAAATAATAAAAAAGTTAAATAATGTTTTTTACAATTTATTTTTATATTTTAAAATTTAAATAATCTATCAAAAAACTATTTTAAAATTAATGTTTGTATTTTAAAAAAAGGTAAAGAAAAAAACATGCAAATGACTATATGATTATGAATAAAATGCTTAACGAGATATGAATGAAAAAAGAATTCCGCAAACCAAAAAGCAGGTTATTAATATTTAATAAGATTTAGGGTGAGCAAAAAATCAAACCGACAAAAAAAACCCGACAAAACCGCAACAAACCGCAACCGAGAAACCGAAACCGATAAAAAAACCGAGAGTACGGATTTTATTTTAGCAAAAACCGAAGTTATTGGTGCGGTGCGGTTTTTTATCTAAAAACAGGAACATCAAAACCGAACCGCACCGCTATGTATAAACAATAAATCACTTATTATATATTATATATAATTCTACATATTATTTATAAGACTACTAAACTACTAATATATTTATATTACTAGTTTATAACCCGTGGACACCACGGAAGAGAAAATAAAAATTAAATATAATTAAAATAATATATATTAATTAAGGAATTATAAATAATTTTTAATACGTAATAAATTATATTTTTCATAAGTAATTTGATAATGATATAATGATTCTTTAAAATTACGAAAGTATAGTGTTTTGAATATCCAATCGACAGTTTGTGTTTGTAGATATGTTAGAAAATTATCAATTTTGTGTAATTGAATAAAAAATTAAATAAAATAGAAACAAAATTTGATATATAAAATAAAATTGTACAAAGTATTTATAAAAATCTAAAAACTTCTTTATACACAACATTTGATGTTTTATTTGTTAGTCTACCATTCTTATCTAGAATTAACAATTTTAATCCCTCTCTACTTTGAACTCTGGATAAAGCAACGTACAATTGGCCATGTGTAAAAACGGGTTCTTTGAGAAACAGACCAACCTTCGACAAAGACTGTCCTTGGCTTTTATTAATTGTCATTGCAAAACATACAGCCAATGGAAATTGTCTTCTTTGGAATTTAAACGGGATCTTGTCTTCAGTAGGAGTTAAAGACATTCTTGGAATAAAAGTAATGTTTCCAATATTACTTCCAGATATGATGACTGTCTCAATAACACGTTTGCCCAAAGATTTGACTTGTAGTCTAGTGCCATTGCATAAACCATTTTTCTGATCAATGTTTCTCAATAGCATAACTGGAACACCGACTTTTAAAATGAGCTTATGGTTTGGCATACCTGATAGTTTAAGACCATTTAAAACATCAGGTGAATATAAATTACAATCAAACTGATTATGAACAAACTCGGATTGGCAGAGGCTATTGAACTTAAATATTCTTTTTCATCTCCTGGAATCAATTTTAGCAAACGGTCATTTATTTCTTGGACAACTTCATTTTTGGGAGCAAGTATTGCTCTTTCCTGAAAATAACCTGCAATGTTGAAGTTTTCCACAATTGAAGGATATACAAACTTGATTAATGAACCTATAGAATCACATGGATCATTAATAAGAATATCTTGTGGAATATCAACAATTGCTTCACCATCATTCGGACCACCAAGATTACCTTCTCCTATGTCCAAAAGCCAGTTTGAAAAACCCCTTATTTTCTCAACAGCAGATGGATCGCTTCCAACAGTTAGCCTCATGTTTTTTGTTAATTTATGGACTTTGCATTGTTGCCATAAATACGAAGAACTTAAAGAAACATTAACAATGTTTTGTCTACTGCCACCTGGAACAACAGGCAGAATTTGTCTGAAATCACCTCCAAAAACAACCACTTTCCCTCCAAATGGAGTATTTGAGTTTGTAGGATTGAAACACCGTAATATATCCTTCAAAGTTCGATCTAAAGCTTCAAATGCATGCTTGTGTACCATAGGTGCTTCATCCCAAATGATCAATGAGGTTTTTCTTACTAAATTAGCAAGATCACTATCTGGATTTATTCTACAGTAAGAATCCTCGTTAAGATTAATGGGTATTATAAACCGAGAGTGTGCTGTCCTGCCTCCAGTCAATAATAATGAAGCGATCCCGCTTGAAGCTACATTTAAAACAATCTCACCTTCAGATCTAATGGCTGCAGAAATTGTCTTCCAAAGAAATGTCTTACCCGTTCCACCATAACCATAAATAAAGAATACACCTCCCTTATTATCTTTAACCGTAGTCATGATATCAAGGAAAATGTTGCGTTGCTCGTCTGTTAATGAAACAAAAAGACGATCAAACTCATTCTTTAAATTTGGTATGTCATAATCGAGCTCCTCAGTTATCAGGCGATTGTTTGAAGATGAAACTGAATCATCATCAGGGTAAGGCATCCTTCTATAGTTCTTGAGACTGGTGTTGTTTCGAAGTAAAATTTGTTCTATCTCAAACAAAGTCAAGTTTTTAATTTGATCTTCGTTTAGTGATAAAGCTGTATGAATAATGTTATATTAGTTACAACCAATTAAAAAATAAAATAAATGAAAGTCAAATCTAATTGAACATATATTTGAATTTTATATGATATAGATTTAATAATAATGTAATAAACATATAATACCTGGAGACTTTAATCTCTGTTGTTGAGTATAAAGAATTCCATCTGACAGATATTCCCATGTGTTTTCCCACACACTCTCCGGTTTAGACAAACTGTTGGACAATAACATCGTAGCAAATAAAAACCGTAGATAATAACCAGATCTAGAAAGACTTGCTTCCTTAATTGCATCGATGTATTCTTTGTCATCATCCAAAAGGCCTAGATTATAGCATGCATCTTTAAAAGAAGAACATATTTCACCATTGACTGTGCGAATTTCTTCAAATGATTTTGGACCTTTCACTTTATTTAAAAGAATTCTTAAGAAATACGCTTCACCAAGTTTAGGTGAAACCGGGTGAATTCTACCAATTGAATATCCAACTTCCCTTGGCTTCCAAATTAGAAGTTTAGGTTTCCAAACAAACTTTGTAGGAAATTCAACATAAGTAAGTTTCCGTGCTTCTACATTGATTTCATTACACTTCATCCAAGATGTAAACATTGAAGAAGCAACTGAAGGCCGGTCAAGAACATCTTCAATATCATCGTCTGCCTCATATATAACTTGTTGTCCAGGAAGATGAAACGGTAGTCTGATTACAGCAGGATACCTATAATGAACATCATATTTAAAAATCCTCCATGATGCTTCACATGCAGATATATATCTACAATCATAATATTCTTTGATTTCATCCACAGCATCGTTGTTATCAGAATCATTATTGTTTTGCACCATAGCAAAAGTAGCCCTATCAGGACCCTTGTTTATATATTTAAATAAATACTTTATCGAAGATCCTTGATTGCACCATTCAACATTAATGTGTGCCTGATATCTTTTCAAAAGATATTTATTGTATGGAACAACATTTCTGTTGTCTAACTGGACCCCCGATTTTCCAACAACATTTCCATCATTTCTTCTCCTATATAAGGGAAAACCGTTTGAATCAACTGAAGTATGATTACAGAATTGCTTTGGAAAGTTTTTAGAACATTTTCTGTCCACCATGCATGGGCAATTGAAATTTTCAGCTCCACATGGACCATGGATCATGAACTCTCTCACAAGTGAATACAATTCTGGATCTTCATTGATATTTGGAATCTCGGCAGAAATATACGGGTCGATATATTCAACTGTAGGAAGCTTGCAATCAGCATGCAAAAAAAGACATATATGACTATGGGGCAAACCTCTTTTTTGAAATTCAATTGTATAAACCAATGCACATAAAATTATACAAATAGGATAGAAGTTAGCAATTAAACTAATTGTTGGTGTATGTATGTATACATACATACCTAATAAAAAACATAATTTAGATAACTATAGGAAAAATATAAATGATAATATTTTATATTTATATATTAAACTATAAATTTAAATACCTGCTTGAACCGTGCCGAAAATTTTATTTTTCCTTAAATCTTTAATAAATGCATCCAACTTGATCTTAAATAACCTACATAATATATCCGGTCTATCTTCTGGATGAAGTGGAGTGTCCTTAAGAAACCTTTGAACTTCTGGCCATTTTGGATTACACGTAAAGGTTATGAAGAAATCAGGATATCCAAACCATTTACAAAGCGACATGGCATCCAAATAGTTTTGCATCATATAGCGTGCACCACCGGTAAATGAAGAAGGTAAGATCACACGTTGCCCGACGTTCGATATATCTGTACTCCCGAGTGCTTGGTGATTACGCAATTTCTCATAAGACTCACATCTAAGAATTTTTTGTTGCTTACGTATGAAAAATAATCTCTCACTTTCAATCATTGTATAACCATCAACCAAAAATTGTTGGAACAACCTTTTTGCATTGAGAAGTAGTGAGAACGATTGATCTCTATCTTGAATTCTGTAAGCAAAAAATTCTCTCATTGTACACGTCGGGCGCTTGCTATTACTTGAAGATGTAATACCTCTATGAAGGATGTCAACTCTGTAACCATCATCACCATATGGAAATAGTAATGGATACTGAAGAGCAAGGTAAGAAGGATGTAATTCACTGATACGCTGAAGTAATCCTGATGAGGTTTGAACAACAATGTCTCTTTTTTCAACTGAATCAGAAATGTCACCAACAATTAAAGCGGCTACCTCCGAAGAAGTTGGTAAGTTATATGTCCTTCCATCTTGTTCTCTTTTTCCGATTTATCTTAACTTCAAATTAGCACCAGGATTTTCGTGAAGACTGTCTCTTACCATCCTATAAGACTTGACCAACACATTGTTTGAATCTAACATAACCTTCAAAAATTCGATAATCTGGAGATCATATGATATTGAAGTTGATGTAGAAGCGCTTGTCGGTCCACTGAAAATATTATAAAAGTTATTTAATGCTAATAAAGAAATTAAAAGAAATAAATTACTTTATTAAAGAATAGGAAATTGTAAAAATATACCCAATACTTGTTGATCTGTTTGAAATTTCATTTTCGGTATCATATATGTATAACTGACAAAATTTTGGTCTTGATCCAGGTGTAGGTAAAAGACTTCCCATACTATGATAGTTTTGACCGCTAAGTTTGAATATGTATGGTGCGTTGCCTTTGTTGATGGATGAATCAACTTTTCCACCCATCGATGTAAATGAAAACATTGAATTGTAACGTCGAATGTTCTTCATAAAGTGTTTGCTTTTTGAATCTACCGATTTGTAAAGATTTTGGTAAGATGACGGTGCTTCTTTTAAGGGTGGTAGCTCAACTTTGCCGTAACCACAACATAGTGAATAAGATGTATTGCCTTTTTTTTGCCCTCTAAGCGATTCATGTATCCATAATTTTGCATGACAAAACTTACATGTAACAATTTTGTCTCCATGATCTAAGTATTCTATTCAATGCAAAAAAAATATATTATATATAATTAAAAAAATAATTAAATTTTTTTTGAATATTAAATAATTTAGAATTATGATCACCTTTTGATATACCATGGAAAATATCTTGAACAATATGATCATCATTAATTTCTTCATCTAATGTCAAGTCAATAACAGGTATAGAGGATATATGTGAAGTCTTCCTTTTTAGATGATGTTTTCCTCTTGGTAACTTGATTGATGAAGAATTTTGGATTATTGTCGAACGATTGCTGGATGTCGTGGCATTACCAAACACCAAATTATCTTTGTTAATAGATAGTGGTGTTCGAAAGTTATTATTGAAAATATAATTGCCTGTAAAAATAAAAATAGAAAGTACAAAGTCAATAGTTGTTATAATTAATATAGATGTGAATCATATATTTATAAATTTGTGTATTTAGAAATGCTTACCATTTGAAATGTTAGAAAAGGGAGTTCTAACATTTATATTTGATGAATGAGAAGTATGAATTATTGTCGAGGGATTGGTGGATGTCTTGCCAATGCGAAACACTGAATTATCTTTGTAAATAGATAGCGGTGTTTGAACGTTATTGTTGAAAATATAATTGTCTGATAAAATGAAAATAAAGATTAGAACATTAGGAATTGTTATCGGTTATATAAATTTGAAGCATATATTATAAAATTTTGGTATATAGAAATGCATACCATTTGAAACTGTTGATGAATGTGTTGTAACATATTTATTTGTTGAAGGAGGTTGAATACGACAACGATTGTAGATATCTGTTATATAATAAACAAATGGTTAGTAAGAATAAAAAATATTAATTATTAAAAATAAAATAAATTAAAGAGTATGCAAAGTTTATATTTATATTATATTTACAAAAGAATTGTAAAATAAACAAATATATATACCGTTATTCGACGTGTAAGAAACATGTGTAACAGATGAATTTTGATGGGTTGATGTGGTATGTAATCTTTTGGATTTTCTATTATCCAAATATAACTTTCTAATTTTTCTCCTCTCTTTAGCGCTTGTAGATTCGATACTGTTATTTGAACCTGTAAAATAGCATAAAATAACTTAAACACATTTTTATTTGATATAAATTTAAATATAACGTAATGTATTTATTTCACTTATAAAAAATTATGAATCTTATATCTTATATTTAAAATATATAAGAAACAAACATATCATCATCATCAATGCAAAATAAAGTAAGAAAAGTACCGTATTGGCTAAAATGAATCGTATGTGCTGCATATGTATGATGACACGATGATGTAGTATTGTGTTTTTTGGATTTTCTGTTATCCAAATATAACTTTCTCTTTTTTCTTCTCTCTGTAGCGTCATTTTCATCCATGTTCTTGATCGATAAATAAAAAAATAAAAAAAAATATAGTTAAAAATAAAATTAAGCATATGTTAATAATTGTTACATACAATTTGTAGGTAATTTAATTTGTATAAACTTGAATTTGAAAATTAGATACTAATAAAATTTGTTACGATAATGAAATATGTAAATAATAATATTGTATAATGATATATAATTAAACTTTACTTATTAAATTGTTGAACATATTCTATAAAATGGCAATTTAAAAAGTTTATGTTTATTTAAATTACAATTTAAATGTAAAATGTAATGTCATCTTAAAACACAATTTAATAAAAAATGACATATAAATATAAAGATTAATGTTATTTATTAATTTATATTTAACCAAAGAGTGAGTGGTGATACATACGATTAATAGATAAAATTAGAAAAAAAAAACATCATTTGATGTCTTCGTATAAGTGTTTGTATATGTATATATATTGTTTTTATTTTAAAATAAAATTAATTTATATTTATATTATTCAATTCAATATTCAATATACTAAAGAAAGACTTCTCAGTGTTGAGTAACCCTATTTTCCCCCTTTTCTTGTAATAGAAACGAATACAACTCCCTTTTCCAGTATAACCAAATATATATTTCCAAAGCATCTTAAAACGATCGATCTCAGAAATGCTATGGAAACCTGTCAATTGCTAAAGATGTAGGCAGATACTATAATACAGGTACAGACCCATCTTGAAGTGAAATGAAAGTTATACTGCAATTTAGAAGTCGGCGAATGAAGGTACGAAACAATATGGGTTGAAGAGGATAAAATGAAAGGCAAGAAGTTATATAGATCGTTGTTGATTGTTAGATTCTTTAATAGAAAACACATTACTTGAAAAGATAATTTTACCTGGGATTTTTTTGCAGCAAAGATGTGTTTGAAGCTTTGAGCGAGAAATGGAGTGGCAGTGACGAAAGATGGAGTTTATGGTTTTGGATTTCGTAAAAGACATAAAACAGGATCCATACTATCAATGATGTGTAATTTTACCATCAATCAAAAATAGATGAGTAAATAGCTGGGTAATATTCTAAAAAGTTATTTTAAACAGAGAGTATCTATGAAATACTTTACCACATGAATAAAAACATAAACCAATGAATAATAACAGAAAGGATGGAGGATTAAACAGAATATATATGAAACTGTTTTTTGACTTTATCTTCCAATCATACAGAAACCTAGAGAAAATTAGACATGTAAATTAATCATAAATAAATAAACGATATAAAAGTATGAAATCATGTATAGTGTTTAATCGAATAAATAACAACATACTTATATAAGACACTATCTATTTAATACTTTTATTTTTTCAGAAACATTCAAATGATGAATAAGAAACATACACATCATTTTGTCGATTGTAAAATTAATCATAGAGGAATACAGAGAAATATAGACATGTTAATTAAAGATAAATATAAAGAGTATTTAAATGAGTTGCAATCGAAATAAAGCACAAACCTTATGTTGTTATCATATTCGACTGTTGTTTGTTTTGCCTGTTCGATGGAAGTCATTAGAAAACAGAGGGAATGTTTTCAAAGATTCTTTGAAGTATAATAGTCTGCTCTATTAAAACTGATTTTAGGAACTGATTTTGAGTGATTCAGTGATTCATGGTATTTTTGAACCTGATTTTCAGTGAATCACGGTATATTTGAATTGTAAAAATGATAAGCATTAATTTCAGCTGCTGAATATAAGGAATACCGAATTTTCATTAAAGACCTTCAACTAATCTGTCATCATCAGTAATTTTAGGAACTGATAATTATTAATTACTAATTATTATTATCAATAATTATTAAATTAAATATTAATTATTAGTTATTAATATATGAGTATGCATTTATTTTGAACCTGCTTTTTAGTGATTCACGATATATTTGAATTGGAAATTTGATACCATATTATAGACCATATCAACATAATTGAAAATCGGTAACTGTAATTTTGGCAAGTTGATCTTGATTTACATAATTAAAGTTGATCAGCATTAATTAATTTCGGTATGGAATATAGAATATGGCATTTACTCAATATGGATTGAGTAATATCAATGAAGTTTTAAAATAATATAATCACTCTAATTTCGATTTTTTTATAACATTTTATTTTTCTGATTTTTTTCGCTATATTTACGGATTGTAGTTTAAAATAAAAATGAAGTAAAATTCTGTTAATTGATTCACATAAAAAAATATTTATAAGATATTGATAAGAATCATATATTGAAAAATCAGTGTTGGTTAGTTTTTATCATTTTTTTGACTAACAGTTAAAGACCTTTATGTTTGTCAAATAATAAGATGGTATAATAATCAAATAAAGTAAATTTGGATGTTATTTACCTAACGTACAACATAAACATGGGAAATCAAATAAAATTATGTTAATTGATTCAAATAAACAAATATTTATAATTTATAAGATACTGATCAAAATCATATATCGTAAAAATCAGTGTTGGTTATAATAAAGAATCCCTTCTAATTTTTTGTTGTTATTTGCGTAAGATACAACATAAGTACGGATTTTATGTACTATTACACCGTTTCTCAACGTAATTAGAAGTCATTTTAGCAATTTAATTAATGTCCTTAAATTGAATTCACAAACATCATGCATGCAGTCGTAGTGTTACCTACAGCATACTGTAAAGTAAAGCATTTTATAGATGTCATAAGATAAAATATTAGAAAGAATAAGCAAACAAATCATATTGTAATAAAAAACGACTGCAACATGAATCTTGAAGGTTTTATGAATGTATAATAAAGAAACCATAAAAAAAAACCAGCACCGGGAAACAAAAGTTTTCAAACTGAAAACCAAGATGTTAAAATAGCATAATGAAAAATAAAAAGTAGTCTATGATTATGTAAATCCACTCCAAAGAACCATTCGAAATTAAGCACGAAACCTTAAGTCACACATCTTTTTCCACCTTTACCTTCAACAATTCTTTTCTTGGACCAGCTGGGGATGTCTTTGGAGTTTTTGACGATGAAAAATTTTCATTAGACTCCAAATCAAAAACTTCTTGCAGATTTCTCTTTAAAACTGGTGTTGTTGTTGAAATCTTCAATGGACTCGTTGCCGAGTTTTTGTCCAAAGTGTTGGGAGTTATGTTATCATCCGTAGCAGAAATTGCATCCTAAAAAGACAATTATATAAAATTCTTTTATAAAATGAAGTACAATTTTATACTATATTCGATATTTTAACATGTATAGTACCTTTAAAGTCTTGTTGTCATGAGATTGAAAATCAGATGAATTGTAGTCTAATGACTGTGAATTATCTGCCTGTATAAGAAAATAAGTAGCAAAATAAATTATTTATTAAATACTTCATGGTCAGCTAAATAACATAAAACAAAACATAAGTAATGTATTTACTTGAGAAGAATTCAATTTATCTTCAAGTTGTTCAATTAAACTCTCATCATCAGTAATTCTAGCAATACCATATTGGTTGGTTTTTTTGGACACATTGAATCTGTTTGAAGAAATCTTAAAGGCAAATTTCAACCCTTTCAATGCATTCATCTCCACTGGATACAAATCAACATTGTCTCCATTCTGCAGTTATGCAACATTATCAAACATGTATGTTAAAGTGAAAACAAATACAAAATTTACAACATTTTATATAATAAGTTGAAATAACCTTGGCTGCGTTGTTAAAAAACTCTTTGGCTGATTTCTTCAACAAATACCTTCCTTCTCTTTCAAACAGAGTTAAGGTGATAGTGCCAGTGTTATCTTGAACACGGATTGGAATCTTATATCTAAGAAATTAAGAAATTATATTAATATATATTTGGTATTAGATATTATTTAAAGATTTTTATGGACAGTACGAACCTTGGAACCACAGATGTTGTAGTTTTTGTGCAATCTCCGTTATGACATTCATAAGATTTAGCTGTTCCATCTACTTGATCATTGTTAGGGACTGCTTTGCTACTGCAGTTGGTACACGCTTGATAGAATCATTTTTCATTTTGTAATATTCCTTTTATAGTGCCCACAAGAATGAATGTACATATCTGGATAAAAAAGTAACTTTGTCAAAAAAAAATTATGCAAAACAAAAAAAGTATATTAATAAATATACCATCACATATACCTCCACGGGCTCCCAAACTTCAGAAATAGTCTTCAGCTTATTTTTAACCATGAAATCATCATATTCAGAAACTTGGTTAGCAGGAATAAGTGAAAAAGTATGTGAAGAGGAATCAGGACGATCATCCCTTTGTAACCTGTTTTTTTTATGCAAATCATAAAATTTTAGAATAAACATAAACATCAGTTTCTTGAGTATAGATAATTCATAAAGAAAGACATGGAAATATAGACAGGGAAATATAGACATGTTAATTAATGATAGCTAAATAAACGATATAAATGAGTTGCAATACATTGAAGTGTGTATATTCTGTCAATTCAAAACAATCCCTATTTTTGTAAAATTGTTTTGTCATTACATAGGATGTAATGACAAAAACCACACCATATGAAATAAATTACCTTTTCTTGAAAACAGAAATTTCATCTATGTCAGAGTTTATGAACAATCTTGAGGATGTATAGTAGGTGTTGACACTTGGGCGATCTATAAAAAAATTATAAATATTATTTAAATATAATTGTCGGTCTATAAAAAAATGTATAAATAATGTTTAACTTATTATAAAATTTTATTTTTCCTGAGAAATTGAGTATACCTCTCCAAACATTAATTTGTGCAAACTGAAGTATAACAATGATTTGAAGATTTTGTGGATTGTCTTGTATATACTTTTGCATCTGGTAAGCATAATCACCCCACAAAACCAAACGTATTTCCAAACCACTGACAATGCAACCATTAGTAAGTTAATTATATATAAACATCAAAATTTTTAAGTATTAAATATAAATATATTGAAAAACATACTTTTCATTCTGGATATGGATGTGAATTTTGTGTTTGGACTTCTCAGTGCTTTCTGTTGCCATTTCACCAACACCAACAACCAATCCAATAACATCTACAATATAAGAAAAATATGAATGAAGTGGTGTTGAGAATATGGAAACATCATATCATATCATATATAAACATTAAATATTGTAAAGTTGAAATTTCATTAAGTAAAAAATGTAATAAATAAACTTACCGAGTGACAAATTTTGAGGATGAACCATTGACAGCACAGATTGAAAATCAACAAAAGAAAAACCAAATTTAGGCCCGCTAAATTGGGTACATTCTTTAACAACTGTTTCCTGCACAAACGTGAGTTTTTGATCTTGGGGAATTAACCTAAAAGTATTAGCCTTCAGAGCTGCAAAGCTTGGAGATGTGATGTAATATGATTTCCCATCTTTTAAAACATTTTTGAATCGATAGAGGAATTTTTTAGGGACAGATGCTTGTATTTTGCTCCCCTAAAAACACAATATATGATAAGCATTAAACATTAAAACAACATAAATATTTATATTTAACACATAGGTAAAGATATATATAACATACCTGTTCATCGACCAAGATTAATTCAATGGACCATATTTCATTCTTGTTGTAGAAAGACATCTGCTTCCAATGGTTTATAACACGAACCTTGATAATCAAATCATCCCTTGTTACATCCAAGTCAGCTATGAAAGTGATATTTGTTGTAGACATATCCCTGCAAATATCAGAATCCATTCTATAAGTTTGATGCCAAACAATTGGTAACTACAAGAGAGTATTAGTGAAATTATCCCTAATAGTATAAAGATGCATATATAGCAAAGATCAATCAATAAACACATAAAGATGCATATATAGCAAAGATCAATCAATAAACACATTATATTCGAAAAAGGTCAAAATGGTAAAATCGAAGAAAAATATAAAAACTGTATGAAGACATAAAAGCTCTACCAAAATATGAGAATTTGAGTAAAATAGAATAAAAAACAGATGAATATTTAAGCATTGTACTTATGAAAAGTTTTTTTAAATGAATAACTTATGAAAAAACTTGTAACAGATGAATATTCGTTACATAAAAACTGTATGAAAATATGAATATTTTAGTAAGGATATTAGTGTAGATAATTGTGTTCAAAACATTAAAGTGTGTATATTATGTCAATTCATAACAATCCCAATTTTTGTAAAATTGTTTTTCCGAAAAATTAAAATGATGAGTCAAAAACATAAACATCAGTTTCTTGAGTATAGATAATTCATAAAGAAAGACATGGAAATATAGACAGGGAAATATAGACCTGTTAATTAATGATAGCTAAATAAACGATATAAATGAGTTGCAATACATTGAAGTGTGTATATTCTGTCAATTCAAAACAATCCCTATTTTTGTAAAACTGTTTTTCTGAATAATTCAAATGATTAGGCGTAAACATAAACGTCAGGTTCTTGACTATAGATAATTCATAAAGAAAGATTGTGAAATATAGACAGTGAAATATAGACATGTTAAAGAATGTGTGAAATATAATACTCTGTGAAATGAAACACAAACCTTTTATTATTATCATCGATTGTGCTTAGTTTTTCCTGTTCCATGGAAGTCATCACAGCTCACAGAGAATGTCGTCAAAGAATGTGTGAAATATAATACTCTGTGGAATAAAACTGATATATGCATATGCGTTTAATTTGAACCTGATTTTCAGGGATTTATTTACGGAATATTTCAATCAGAAGATTGGAAGATAATTTACCAGCATCAATTTGGGATGCTGAATTTAAGGGATACAGGATCGTTATCTTCAATCTTCAATATTGAATAAGGAATTTTGAATTTTAAATTTGGTTTGGATATGGATTGCTGAATTGACGGATTGACTGAATGTGTATATGGGCGGGAAAGTGTTTTTGGTTATTGTTTCTTGTAATGCCACGTGGCAGGTTTGTAGTTTAAGAGTCTGACAAGTGGATTGTAGGAGAGTTGTTTATTAGGATTAGAGATATGTTGATTTTGACGTACATTAGGGTTAACAATTAAAGGATTTCAAAAACTTTCAAGAGAAGTTACCCAACTCTAGCGGCAGCAACGAACTTAGGCAGCCAAAATCACGGCAATTAGCAGGTATGTTTGTGGCTTTTTGCATTATGTTTCTCATCATTGAATCACCTAATAGGATTTTTCCGTTAAAGCCCCCCACCCTAAGCAAAAAACAGTCGAATACAATTCCCAAGAATAACATTATTGTATTTTTAAGTTATGCAAAATAACTTTGATTATTTTTGGGAAAATGACTCTTGAGGGTAACTAACTGTAGGGGTGTGCAAAAAACCGTACAAACCGCCCGCACCGCACCAAACCACACCGCATAATGCGGTTTAGAATTTCGTGGTGCGGTTTGCGGTTCATCATTTTATCAAACCGCACTATGCGGTGTGGTTTGCGGTTTGTATTTATAAAACCGCGGTTCAAACCGCACCGCACCGCATGTTATATATATACTTTTTTTTCTTTACTTTATTATAATTTCAAATCACGATTTAGAAACGATGTATTTAAATATATTTCTTACAATAACCAAATATCTATAACGTAACATTAAATCACTATTAGATGAAGATCCCACGGTTTACAAGAATATAGCAACTACAACGGCAATATAGAGCAATAGCAATGACACTTACAAAACTATACTAGCATGAATCATAATTTATTAAAAACGATTTAACTTGAAAAAAATATATTTGTTTTTATAAAATGAAAGCAATCAATTTTTTTAACCGGATCAGTTTTTTGGTTTTTTGATAGATTTAATGTTGAACAACTCATTAAACCGCACAAACCACAACCAAATCGCATAAACCGCCCGCAGCAAACCGCACCGCATAACGCGGTTTTGAACATCTGTGGTGCGGTTTGCGGTTTCTAAAATATTCAAACCGCATATGCGGTGCGGTTTGCGGTTTTGACTCTAAACCGCACCAAACCGCACCGCGCACACCCCTAACTAACTGTTGCGTTTGTTTTCATTTGGTCAATTTTTTTTTGTACTCAATATACCATCAAACTTGTTGTTTGTATTCACCATAACCCTTTTGACCGACTTTTGACATGTGATAGCCGGTGAAAGGGTTGTGGTGAACACAAACAACAAGTGTGATGGTATATTGAGTACAAAAAAAATGAAAGGGACCAAATGAGAACAAACTCAACAGTTGGTTACCCTCAAGAGTCATTTTCCCGAAAAGTTAAATGAAATTAAAGTTGCAAAATTATCAATGACTGCAACCTTTTTTGGCCATAACGTATATGAAGAGCGTTTCGGAGGGTAACTTCGTTAAAACATAGTCTATGTTATGCTTACTGTGGTTAGCTGTCAACACCTCTCTGCAAAATGATATGACTGTGTATGAGAGGTATATTTATCAACATAAACATTTACCTCAAGGTATATTATGATGATGTGTCTGCAAAAGCTGCATGATATTGTACATATTGATGTTGTATCTTATCCCATTAATTCAATCTTAAAGCTAAGTATACTAAAAAATCACAACACTTGTGATTCCACTCGTTTGTAGACTTGTCTAGAATCCATGATACGATAAATCATTTGATTGGAAATGTAAATGTAGTCATGAAATGCACCTGCTTAGTCAATATTCCTCTAATAAATATTCAAGTGCATTACAAAGTTGTACATGTATGAGTAATGTTCTTTTGTGGGTTATATTTTGAAGAGAAGCAAGAATGAATCTCATAAAGTCATTAAATATCAGCAAGAGATGACGTGACATTTGTTGTAAATAAGTAAAGGGAAAATGAACCAGGAGGGTAACCAACTGTTGCATTTATTCTCATTTGGCCTATTTCCTTTTTTGTACTCAATATACTATTGAACTAGTTGTTTGTGTTCACCATAACCATTTGACCAACTATCACAGGTCAAAAGTCGGTCAAAAGGGTTGTGGTGAATACAAACAAGTTCAATAGTATATTGAGTACCAAAAAAAAGGAAAGAGACCAAATGAGAACAAATGCAACAGTTAGTTACCCTCAAGAGTCATTTTCCTGTAAAAAAATTATATATTTTTTTTATGAACTTGCTTTTTAGTTTCAAGGAACGTGTGTATGTAAAAAAATGGAACAAACAATCAAACTAATTTGTCAGTTTGACGAGGTCACTTGATGAGATATGACCTAGTCACTTGGTGTGAATTTATCCTTGTTTACTTTTGTTATTAAAAACATGTTCGGCAGGAATTTATTTTAGTTATTGGTTGGTGGTGCAAATGCAAATACAAGACTAATAGACTATATGGGAACTTATTTTAATTTATCAAAATATTATTTAATCTTTATGTGAGTTTGTCACTTTTGTATTTGTGTGTTTATGTAACGACTACGTGGTTTCTAAAATTGAGTAAACAACACCATACAATCATACATGCTCGCATGATCATCACCGTTAAAAATAAACCGGTAATAAAAATAATGCAACATATTTTTGACTCGGTTTAAAACCGACACCAAACCGATACAAATCGAAACCGCATTAAAAAACCGCAAAACCGAGCCACTGAAAAACCGCACCCAACGGTTTCTAAAATGAAAAAACCGCACCTTGCGGTTTGCGATTCGGTTTGGTCATAAAACCGCACCATGCTCACCCCTAATAAGATTGTTATGATGATATTTACATATAATATGAAATTTAAAAAATATAAGTGTGAAGTTATAAAATGTAATATCATAAAACTAGATAGGCTACTAACTTCCTTTCTTCTAACCCTATGTATAAAATTGGTGTTTTTATTAAAAAAAATATAAAGAATACATAAATTATATCACACATTGGAAGTTTTGTTTGTAAGTCTATCATCATTATTTAAATTAATAGTTTTAATCATTATCTACTTTGAACTCTAAATAAAATAATATGTTATTAGTCATGTGTAAAAACAAGATCTTTTACAAATTTCTTAAGATTTTTTATAATTTCTTACAACATTTTTATGATATTTTTTCCTATAGGTTTTTCTAATATATTATTTTAAACGTTGCTTATAATTTTTTTTAACTTTTTTTTATACTTTCACATAATTTTAATACAAGTTCTTTTAAACCAAATATTATCTAAATGTTTTAACATTTTCATACAATTTTTTTATAACTTTCATACAATTTGTAACATCTCAGAAACAGTGATAAAATTTTCATTTTTATTTTAATCAAAAACCATCAAGTATTCATAAGAAACCACCTAAAGTATGTCAAATAAGAGTGATTATCATAGTACAAATCCAAATCATAAAGAAAATACAAAACACGGGTAAATGTACTACGATCAGGCCGGGTCATTCCCTTTCTTACCGGATGTACCTGAAACCACAACCAAACTGTAAGAATAAAGCTTAGTGAGCTTCCTAAAATATGTCACACCCCCGAACCGGGACGACAGAAACGTCCGGGGGCGGGTGATTTCATTTTGTAATATCATAACAATTGTATATAAATAAGACATAGCAACCATCATCATCATACATTAACGATATCAACATACATGGTTTACATCATTGTGTTTGTTTACGAGATACATCCCAAAATAACATAATGTATGATAATTAAAAAAATACAACAAACATCCAAATTTCCTTAGCTGTCCACCTGTTTATTGAGTTCCTGAGAATACAAGTCGTTTTGAAAAGCGTCAACATAGAATGTTGGT